TAATCTTTAGTCAATATCATATTATCTAATAATAATTAACTTACTTTAGAAGAGCTAGTTAATTTTCTTATTTCATTTATATTAGTAACTATATTAATTAGTAATGAATATTTAACTTTATTTATAATATATTTAATAATAAATACTCTTTTAGAATACTTATATAAGCAAAATCTTGATATTACAAGTGAATTAACAAATACAAAAGGTAATTGAAACTTCTCTTTTAAAATGATAATAATATTCAAAAGAAATTGCTTGGCTTGCATTAATTCTTGATCCATGATTTAAAAATCTTTTTTTTGAATTAGAAAATAATTATAATATGATATATTAAATTCTTTATGAAAAATTAAATGCTGAATTTTCTAATTCAGCTACTAATATTATAACAATATTACCATCACATACATCAAAGATGACTGTATTTTTTAAAGATAAAAATGCAACAACATCCAAAAGTCCTATTGATATTGAATTATAATTATATCATTTATTTCTTAAGATGTCAAAACATGATGTTACAAGTGATGAATATTAACAAGAAAATCTACTTATTTGATGGCAAAAATATGCAATCACTTTATCTATGTTATCAAAAATATCACGTATTTATATTGGAATTCCTGTCATATTAGTACCAGCTGAATGACTTTTTCAGATGCCGAAAAAACATTACAGATAAGCGAAATAGATTAGATCCAAATGATGTTCATGATTTTTTATTTTAAAACACAATATGAATATATTTAAGTCACATAATTAAGATCAAAATAATAAATTAGGGAACTTAATTTTTTGGGGGTTCCTTAAAGCAAGGCAAGCCGTTTAGTCGGTTTAGCCACACATTTGATCTGTACCACATGATTTGAAAATAACCAATAAAAACCAATCAAATCGAACAAGTCAACCTCCTTATAACGACACTTTTTTATTACGGAATTCTCTCTACAGCGACCAAATTTTCTAGAATGTTTCATATATTACTATAGGAAAATTGACTCTATAATGACATTCTATAACGACATCAAATATCCAGGCTAATTTTGTCCTTATAAAGAGAATGTCATTATATGAATCATTCTAGAAAATTTGTCGCTATAGAGGGAATTCCGTTATTAAAGTGTCGTTATAGGGAAGTTGTCTTGTATAAGGACAAAATTAGCCTGGATATTGCGAAATTTTACATATGCGCCATTACCATAATTGAAATTCTGGAGATATAATCCCGATATCCAACATCCCGACGTCCAAAATCCTGACTTATCAAAATCCGGAAATATTAAAATTTGGGTGTCGAGATGTTGGGTATCGGGCATGGATATTAACTAGTATTTCGATTAGAGAGATTCAGAGTAGAGGCTATAGGTTGTACCATAAAACCGTGAAATAACGAACATGAGCATTATTTCAAAAATCGTACCCTTTAAAAATAGCGCCATGTGCGTCCCAAAATAACGTGCGAGTAACTTATTAACGGTTCCAAAGCCAACGTTAAAACATCCGCCAACTTGATTTTGTGCAATCATATTATTTCGTTGGTGGCAATTTTATACTAATGAAAAGTTTCGTCCGGATTCACTTTATTTCCGATTCCCCAGCGATAGAAAAATGCGAATAATGGAGTATATGTCATATCTCGCAATGATTTCATGTATATCTTTTCAAAGAGTGTTGTGGCAGATTGAACATAATTAGGACAGGTCGTATAATGCATTTTTAATGGATCTGCCCCAAATCCGTAAGCCAAATTCCGATACCCCGAAATACCAAAATCCTGAACGCCCAACATCTTGAATGCCCAAAATCCCGACTTCTTAACATCCCGACATTACACTTGATGCAAAATGTATATAGGTGCGTGTAATAAATAATGATTACACAACACCCTTACTCTTTCATATATATTTCTATTTATTTTTTAGAGATATCAGGATGTTGAATATATCGGGCGTTCGGGATGTTGGCATTCAGGATTTCGTATCAATCCATAGAAGATTGTCATTCTATTATATGCCGCCTATGGGTGTTATTTTGAAAAGATCAGGTTTGGAAAATCGACCCTTTATTTCGAAATAACATGCAGGTGACCACGATAACGCGCAGATGCTCGTTATTTCGCAGTTTTACGTATGTAAAATTTCGTTTTTTTTTGAATTTTTTCGTTACACATTGATAAGGCTAGAGGTATTAGGAGTATTGATTGGTTGTTTTCAAATCATGTGGTGCAGATCAAATTTGTGGCTAAACCGGCTAAACGGCTTGTCTTGCTTTAAGGAACCCCCTTTTTTTGGAAAAATAATATCAGCTGAGCCGGCTCAGCTCTCAAAAAAATAATAGCGCAACACTAGAGTGTACATGTACATGTATATCAAACTCAATTTACAATCGAAAAAGAGTGCAAAGCTGTAATTAATAAAATGAATATTCAAAAATATATATGAATAGGCATATTTTTATTAAATAAAATATTATTTAGTATAGTTTATAGATTATCATATTCTTCCGAAAAGAAATATCATTTAAGAATAAGCATCATCTTCAGTTTAGATTAAAAAATAAGAAAATTATAAATAAACACCATTATAATAAATATCATCTTAGAGGAAGGTAATTAGATTGAAACAAGCAAATCTTTCTTATACATGTATTTTACTAATTTAGGAATAAGTATCGCCTCTATTGCCTCTATTGATTGAGTAATGCTTATTCCCGAATGAACCCGGTAGATATTCAAGAAAGTATCATCCCTATTTCGGGAGTTCAAAAAACGGGCAGTCAAGTGGTGCTTATCGTAATTCGCAGCATAAACCATCCCCGCCCTTTTTTCGTGGTCTGCATTGCTGATCATTTGTGGGGGTGCGCACAAAATAGGAAAAATGAATATTACGAGAAAACCCCATGTTTTAAATGGAATATGTACTCCATCGAATGCGTTGAAAATTTGAAGTGATTGATTACATGATGTATCAGGCTTTAGACAACTCCCGAATGTGTACGTACACGTTATATATATTATACATGTATATATTATAACGGTTTATAAAAAATTTACTATTATTTTTATTACGAACCTATGATAACTTCAAGAATTTTAGTTTATTATAAGCTGTGTTTGTTATAAAAGATTTGTTATATCCCAGTTGTGACATTTCGTTTTTTGGGTTTATCACATTATATAAAAAAAGCAGCTCAACTGAGCCCTACGCGCCAAAATACATCCTACATTTATTAAATGAACCATTCCGTTACGCCTTTTCTCAATAATGAGGAAAAGAGAAAATATAATTAGAAATTTTAGTCCAATTAAAAATTTTAAAACATCATTCATAAATTTCTATATATGTCTTTATAATTATAGAACTCCATTTATGCTTTTCATTATTAAGAAGAACCCGTCCTTTACTTGTGGTAATGATAAAATAAACACTGATAGATTTGATTGCGTGCAATCGCTTACTAAAGGTAACTAATATATTATCGCCATACATGCATAAATATACAATAATACTTGACTTATAATGGGGAACAATAAAAATCAAAGTTATTGTTCTTATGTCAAGCCACAATAAGGTGCATATCGATGTCTTCAATTCTTGACTAAGAAGGGAACTACGAAATATATTCATAGATTAAATTTATTTCCTATTCAAAATTCACAAAATCAAACTTATTGAAGCACCGTAAGTATTGTTAATTAAAAAAATTATCTTTTAATATGTCTACTAGAATTATTATTTACTATAATACACAGCGACTCTCTATATAGTGTATCAAAAATTTATTAGTAAATAATCTTATCATTTATCGTGAGTTTTAGTATATCAAGTGGTCGGAATTACATGTACTGATATAACTTCGATATAACGAAGTCTAATTAAAATCGCGATATAATGAGCTTGAGTTCAGGAACAATTTATATTATAAACCATAAAATAATTCCGCTCGATATAATATATAATGAAGTTTTTGAAATTTTTACATACTACGTTATTATCAAGAGTGGCTTTGTACTGCATATCGTAATTACTACATGTGCATTATATGGAGTGCATGTACAATCACATTATAAATTTAGTCACATTTATACATATACTGTACATGTACATGTATATAATAATGAAAACAACGAATTTGTCACGAACTCACTTAGTCACATGAAATATTTGACTGGTATAGCGAGATCATTTTAAGAAAAAAAGGTAATCTAACGTTAAGATGTCAGTGGTTCCAGTTATTTAATCTATAAAATTTTAAACTAGACGAGCAGCTTAAGATGATATACACAAGGTTCATGTTCTTGTGATACTTTTATCACTAAAAAAATCGCTCTTTGCTTCAGTTGGGCTCCACTGTATATGCCAGCAAAGAAATCATAGAACAATCACGCACGTCACCTTATGAGTAATTAAGAAAGGCTAGATTTTAAAAGCAGAGATATTAAAGAATCATGTGTGCTGTTTATATCGCCACTTGGATCACATGGATGACGCCTTTTCATCATGGTTGCATCTGATATCACTAAAAGATGCTCTCGTTTGTGTTCAATATGTGATTCCAATTTAAAGATGTAAACCAAATTATGGAGTGTATGTAACGATTGATCTGTCACTATAAGATCAATTTTTTTTGATAAACTGATTAACTAGATAACACTGATATTGATATATGACAATATAGTTTGTCTTGGTATGACAGGCAATGTCGGTGCATTCAAATATTCGGGCCTTTCAAGTTTCTCATATATTTACATATAAAAATTGGTATTGAAAAAAATTCTATTAGCGCATTCTTTCAGTTTCCTTCTTAACATCTTTCGTACGACCTTTGGAGATATAAATTGGCGTCCAATTCACTGAAAATTACTTAATAACAAAAAAAATTATTATTGAAAACTACTATATTTAATAAATACAGGAAAACGTCTTCAAGCTTTTTTTAAATAAGAAATCTATTATAATTACCATCATAATTTTCATATACACGTAGATATCCACGATATGAACCAAAACAACATAAGCAAAATTAACGAAAGACAGGACCATCCACTCGGTCCTAATTACGATGGGTCCCAAGCTGCCAGCCAAACAGTTTGGAATTTATACCAAAATTTACAAAATTTAAGCCATTCATCGCAACTCACTGCAAAACAAGCCCAAATTTTAGCGGCATTTAAGTTTTTTTTAGGTAATACATGTGTGTATTATTTTGGTACATGTATAATGCTTTTACATGTACATGTATAACGATAACGATAATCATTTGAATATCATTTTGAAATCAATTAGGCGATGAAATCCCCTGACAACTTACAATATGACAATATCGATATGCAAAAGAAATTTTGGTTTAATTGATACATGTATTTCTGAATAATCTTTATATCGTGTTTAAAGAACTAAATTAAACTTTAAAGATAATGAAATGAAATTAATAAATAGCCAACAAGAATATAAAAGCATATTTTATTTACAAGAAAATTTAAGTTGTGATTATTGTCACAAAACATTGGTATACTATCCATTTCTTTGAAAAGATTTGTGCACAGTGAAGTTCACTTTACTTGTCTATATAAGGAAAATTAAAAAGATATTGATAATAAGGAAACCTTTTTAATGAAGAATTCACATTAACGAAGTTTTTAGTTGAACGTGCCCTTCTTTTGAAGTGAATTTCACTGTGTAGCATTTTTAAGATTAAGGGCGTAAACATTTCCAAAGACAACTAATTCCCAATTCGGAGACTATCATTTGTAATAATGATAACAATTACCGTATTTCCCCGAAAATAAAATATTTTTTTTTGGAGGTTAAAGAGAAGGTTCGGGAAAATACGATGTTAACTTTAGATTAAGTGCATCAGATAAAGTCCAATAAAAAATTATAAGGTTGAATAACATGCATTAGAACAAATAAATAAAATCCATGGAAATACTGTGAAATCGTCAGCCAGAATATTATGTATCTCATACTGTATAGGTACCGTAATTTTCATTATCGTTATCATTATATTCATATATGGAAATTTCGCGTATCTTTCCGATCAATATTTAATTTTAAATGAATTACATGTATTATTGGAGCTGGTTTATCAGATGGAACTTGATTGTTGTTTTGATTGTTAAAGCTTTTAATTTTAAATGCCAAAACAAACAAATGACAAACATCTATGAATATATGTAATTTTCATTGAAGGTAGGTACATGTATTGCTACTCTAACTACATGTAGATACAAATGCGTATTTTAGTGTAGTATTAGTTAATAGCGCTACACAAACACATACTATCGTTATAATCTAGCATGCATTATACATGTATCAGCTGAGCATTAGAACACGTTGCATATACATCTTATCATTATCTGTATGATCTTTGATGTCAAAAGTATTTTATCTGTTTATCTCTTTTGCACGAATACATGTAGTTCCCACAGTATAATCGATTTATCTAAATTTTTATCTCAAGTTAACTGTTGAATTGATGGCAATTCAAAAAAAGATATGATCATAAATATCTACATCGCGATCTTTTGTAAAATATTCACTCGTGGTCATAGGACGGAATTCCGAAGGAAAGGAACTATCTTCCACATATTCGTCCCCAAAATTTAACTCGTAAGGAATTTTTTGTTCCTTTATCGGGAAAAATTAAGCGAATTCTTTCATATAATTATTTACCTTCTTATTTCAAGAAATTTCTGGTTTTTGCCTTTAATGTTTTGACAAATTCAGACTATAGTTCTTTTGAAAATGAATAATTCCTTTACCTAATGATTTACAAAGGTTATCACAACAGACAATATGACTAATATTTGTTGTGTATACAGATTGTAATTCGTAGTTAACTTTCAAAAATTACGTAATATGAACATACAACTTACAACACACTATAGACAAAGATTAGGACCCGCAGTTGAGAACTTTTTCTCACTTAACCGGAATAAATAATGCATCACACAACATAGATAAAGGTTAAGACCCGCGGTTCGGAACTTTTTAGCCGGAATAAATAATACATAAACAAACTCATACCCTTTAAGTATAAAATATTTATCAGTCGTGAAATATCGTGCATCATCACGAACAGTCTGGACATCATGGCTATGTCACTATATCAAGACTATCTGTGATGATACATAATATAACCATGACTGATACATTAAATATCTGTTATATCCCCTGAATCCTAATGCTCTTGATGCTATACACTATTTCCCATTAACATAAATTTGAATAAAAATATGTTAAGTCAATGTCAAAAAAAAAAATAGCCCACACAATATACCAACTCCTATTTTTACAAGTGCTCATACTTATATTCCAGATATTTCTTCTGGTAATAATGAAGTAAACAAGAACTAATCCAACAGAATTGGAAAAAAACTTGGATTTTATCAATTGTTCCAAATACAAAAAAGTAATACAAAACTGGATAATCAAATTTGAAGAATTTCAGTATAATTATAATTATATAGTCAAATCTCTCTATAATTACACCTCTCTATAGTCATATTTTTTATAGCATCTTTTTTGAATTTTTCAGTTATTAATTAATTCTAATCAAAAAATCTCTTTATACTTATATCTTTCTATAATCATCTAATTTTGCTTTTCCAAGTGTAATGACTATAGAAATATTTGGTTATATTATATTAATTGAACTATTATTAATTCTTATTTTATTAAAAATAAATATTTGAATTAATTACATAAATGAAAAAGAAAAATATAAAGTTAAAACTATTTAACAAGTTATTGATAAATAAATAAATATCTTATTAAAAAATATCAATTCCAGATCTTAATTTACAATATATAATAAAAATCTTTGAACTAAATCAAATACTTATTAATTCATAATGATAATATAAAATTACATATTTAATATATTATAAGAAAATTAAAATAATAAGTTTTTATTAATAATAAAATTAATAATTAATATATTTATTTTTATTTAAAATAATAAGTTTATTCTTCTTTTATTAAATTTATCAAATTAATTAAAATATTTATGAAATATTTTCTTAGAATTATTAAATAATAAATTAATAAGCATTTTTAAATAAATTTTTTGATAATATGACTAATATATTTAGAATTATTGTTTTATTAAAATTATTATTTTTTATTAAATATTTGATATTTTTTTAAAAAATAATTTTTAAAAATCTTAATATAAAAAAGATTATTTATAATTTATTAAAAACAAAAAATTTATTTTATTATAATAGTAAATCTCAAGCAAAAAGTTTTAACTAATTTTTTATATTCAAAATAAAATTAATCTTTAAATAAAGTTAATAAAACTAAAAATATAGTATTAATTAATATAAAATAAAGATCTAAACTAAAAAAATATAACTAATTAAAATTATTATAATAATAAAATTTATATAATAAAGTTATAATTTATTAAGTATAAGATTATATTATTATATATTTAAAACTTATATATTAATTTTAATAATTCAATATATATTTAATTTTAATTTTAATTTTAATAATTTAGTATATATCTAATTTTAATTTATTAATATTGATAGATATATTTATTTTCTTTTTATAATTATTAATTTTATAATTTAAATTATAAATAATTTTATATGTAAAATTTTTATTAATAAAGTTTTATAAAGCTTTATTATTTAATAATATCTAGATAAATTTTTTATTTACTTATCTATTAAATTTAATAATATTGTTATGGCAAATCGGTAAGTGAATTTTTACTTTGATTCACCCTAATGATATAGAGTTGAGAGAGACTGAAATAATTAAAAGGTAATGAGAGAGGAATTAGACTATAACTTCAATAATAATAAAGATTTCTAAGATCTGTGCCAATATCTATGAATATTGTCTCAATAAAGAATAATAAAATAAAGAAAGAATAAAATAAATCAAAGAAATTATAAAGATTGACTAAGTGAAGCCACTAGTAATTGATAT